TGTTTTATTTCGACACAACGAGATTTTTTGCACTCAAAGAAGCCAGTCATTTTCATGTTATCTCGTTCGCTGTCTAGCGAAATCCCATCTGCCTTGTACCGACACTGATATGCGTCAGTCCAGTTGGCGCAGTGTCCTAAGGAGCAGTTGAACAATCCCGTCAAGGACCCACACTCTGAGCCGTTATTGCAATTGTACTTCTTCAGTGCGTCGGCATCCACCTGCAGATAAAATATATTTTTAATGTAAATCAAACAAAGATCTCTGTCTTCTGTTTTGTAACACCGTGCACCCTGGTAGTTTACCTGCCACATTCATCAGGGCGATGAGTCATCGTCTTGGTGATGGAGGCAGCAGGGGCCTCTGAAACGTTGGTAAACTTCTGCCAGACTACATGGCGTTACAACCTAGAAGACAGCCATCTTTAGTCGATTTATGCAGTTTCATTAGACCTTATTACGTAGTGACGTAAATAAGACGGAAAACATTTTAACGTTTATTGCTGACTCAGAACTTTTGAATTAGGCTACGGCCCTGGTATTTTTAACAATCTGGAACATTTTTGTATTGATGGTAGACCAGTTATTCGAATTAGATGCAAAATTATGTTAATTATGACCGAACACCGCGGTCGAGTGGTTCGCACTCGAGCATCGTATTCGGGAGGCCTCAGATTCAAATATCGGCCTCTAGATCAGCTTTTCCGATAGTACTTTAAATTACGCATTGAGCCTTCCTGCCACATCCTTTGCAATTTATTATTCATTAGCCATCCTATTATTCTGCGCTTTATAACCTGAGTTGCTAACAGTGTCGTTAAGTGAACCATAACTAAATCGATTAATATTATCGACTCTTTGGAACCTTGATGAAAGATTCTCGGGTTACAAGCCGCGTGAGGTGGCTGAACGGTGAATAGACCATATCTTCTGCCAACGTTTCGAGAACAATCTCTGCTCTCATCCTCAGGGCTGCTGGCTAACAAATATGTTCATTTGTTGATGAGAGCAAAGATTGTTCTCGAAACGTTGGCAGAAGATATGGTTTATTCACCGTTCAGCCACTGACGCGGATTGTAACCCGAGAGTCTTTCATCAACTTCAGTCGCCGCGAAAGCTTCACTTTATACATCTTTGGAACCTTGTCTGTAAATTTCTTCACAAATAAGTCATTGCAGTTTTCAACCCAGCCGGTTTTAAATAGTCTAATATTTTAAAACAAAGACATGTTCAAAAATGTGGAAAGATTACAATATTCTTGCTAATCCTAAGCTATCAAATTGTTACATTCAGTTGTGTGTGTTTGTGTTCAGCAGTGCCGATGGTGGTATCGTTAGCAGAGTTTTACCACGACCGAACATTAGAGTATCGTTAACCACAGAATCTCTGCTCTTGAATATTATTCCGCCTTCTTTGTGTCACCTTATTTAACATACTCTTAGTTTGAGACTGTTACAGCAGCCGTCAAAAAATTTGAATGTTTCAAGATTACTGAAGGACTCTCCCCCTAGCGCGCACAGCTATAAGTCACAAGTACTGCGTTGCTGGCTTTGCTACTCTGCGACTTTTGAGTTGACTTCATTCGCCTGGTTTCCGCTGTTAGTGTTGCAACGTTTTATGATATTTCTGTGACGTTGAATCACGCAGTTGGGCGACGAATACCGTAGCAGTTCACAGTGAACAAGAGGTTTTTTTTAATAACAACTCACCGGTGGGCAGGCGAAGGTTTGAAGTCTGGAGCAGTTTTCTAGTTGCATGTCAGTGCCGTTGCGTCTAGCCGTCACCATGATCTGCGGACAGAAGCCTGACGTCTTGGTGAGACACCATTCTCCACAGGACGCCCACTGACAATTCCTGGGGTTATTGGACTTGATAGCCTGACACGTGATCGGCACCGGCTCTATTCCCGATTTGAACGCTCTATGAGACGGGATGTAGATGGCCACAGTTAAGTAAACCAGAGCCACGCAGCTTATGACTACTGTCAGCTGACAGAAACAGATGCTGCCGCATATCCGGCGATCTTGTTCCGGGATCATACGTGGCTTATTCTTCTTGTGGCCCATTTTAATATCAGTAATTTCGGGTAATTCGTATTAAATATTTATTTTCTTTCAGAACAACAGTGTCCACCGTTCATTTGATGTTGTCGAAACGTCGGCAAATACAACGTACCTTTTCTAACCTCGAAAGTAAACTAGTTGTAGAGGCCAAATCAGGTGTTTAGTAATGTTACAGTAGACTTATTTGGCATGAGACTACAACATCCGTTGTATTTTAAAATACAATACATTTAAGGTTTTTTAATCATTACACTTGTCTGAGTGTGATGTTAGTCAAACATAAGTTTTGAGAATTACGTTACAGACCTTGTTTTCTTTAGTGTTACGAATATCAATTTATTTTATTATCTAATCATGTGAAGTTGTTAGAGGCAATGCCAATGCCTGCTTTTGGCGATACTCTGTTTAACTGCTGTGATTTATCATACGCTTTCACCGTTTATTCATTCTTAAAATAAATGTCAATTGTAAATACTGAATATTGGTTCATGATCAAAATGTAATTTATGTGAAGTGGAACTTCCATGCTCAAAATCACTTAGTTTTTGCTTGTAATAAAATCTAAAACATTAATATCAATTGCTCTGAAATATAGTGATGTTTATATGAAAATATTATTTTTATTTTGGACATAACAGACCGCAATCTTTCAGTAAATCATGAAGCAGTTTGCGTGTTTTATCCAGAGGATACGAGATACCTTTTCTTTTTTGAAGTAATCTGAGCTGTAGTGAAGTTGGTTCGTAAAGTTAATTGGTGCATGATGCTTAACAGCTAGGCTACTACTGTAGCGTACAATGCATTATGTAAGTGTTGCACGTGTACATAAAAATATAAATGGAATTTATTGATCTATATTTATTTCAAAACAATTTTCGTACGATAGCATTTTTTTCAATATTTAGAATGAAAGTATATTTTTGTGCTGCTTTTGGTTATTAACTGTAATGTGTTATTAATGCAATGTTTATAGTTGACATTCCTGGTTGTAATAGTTTCGAAATATGTATTATCATTTGTTTGAATGGTGTTAGAATGGCTTTGTGAATTATTCTTCTTGATCCAAAGAAGGCACTTTGTGGAAAACAGTCACCACCTACAAGCACAATGAAGGACAAATTAAAATGTGTTACTGAAAATTAAATTTAACTTACCATTCTAGATGTATAATTATTTGCTCGAAACTGTATTTTAACGTAGTATTAGAATACGACATATATTATTGTCCGTATAACATACATATATTTGTTGGTACAAGGAATTGGAAAACCAAACATTTGTGCCGTAATTCTATAAATCGATTGCTAATATCGTATGTAGGCCACGAAGGATTATAGTCCAACACTGAAGTGAGGGATGTATTTCCGTCAGCTACGATATGCCAGGATATCTTTAGACTATGGAACACATCTGATGCTTCGTCCTTTCAGATGACCATCGTAATTGTCAGTAGACCACGATAGTCTCTTTAATAATCGTTCTTTGCGACTATTAAAGAGACTATCGTGTGATTTCATTCGGCGCTAAGTAACATCTCAAAGTCAATCAATGTCCTTAAATAATCTAAAATTAAGTCGGTTAGTCTACATCGTAAAGCAGTGAACATTAATCTTTTATATTTTGTTAATTTTTGTAGGAAACGTAAGTGATTTGGCTCCAAGAGTCATGCGTATAGTCTACACTGGGTGGCGCAAAATAAGACGTTTATCTGACAGTGAAAATAATGGACGGTTTGACGAGTTTGAAAGAAACTACTAACTGAATAAATTTTCTTGTGCATTGTGTTGCACGCAACTTATGAGTTTAATTCAAATTCGTTTAGTTCTTTTTTTTATCGTTGTTTTAATTTTTCCCACCCTATTCATGCAGATGCTGTCCTCGATTGATATTAAGACAACGCCAGTTTTTGTGAGCTGTCTTGATATTTGTTTAGTTTGGATAATTTTAATGACCCCTTTATTTAGGGACCTGAAAGTGTAATCTATAATTTAAATCCTTTGACTGATTTTTATCAAATTTTATATCCGACTTCTCTGTGGGCATTTTCCCACAGTAAGCTTGCTTCTCTTCTGTTAATTTTAAGTTCCTCTTTGTACAGTGGCATATATATTTATTGAGTCGTTTGACATATCTTGACGATATGCGGCCCTACAGATTGAATTTCTCAACAAGCACTTAATATTTTAAATGCCAATTTTCACTTATACTGATCTGTAAAATTCTGTGTTCGTTGTAAGTTTGACAAAGTCAGGTAACCTTTTAGAGTTTACACGCCCCAGCATGATTTTAGGAATGTGCTTGATATAGTTTGTATTTTTTTATTTTAAGAATCCTCTATTGATATTTCATCGTCGTGTCTACACTTCAGAATGCTATGAATAAATTATTATGATCATTGGTGTTTCGTGGGCCAAAACATGCAGATTTAAGTTTAAGAATTTTATGATTAGTTTGCGGTGTGGGTTAAAGTTTGGATTCATGTCCTCATATAATATTTAGTTTTTACAGTACTCGAAATAATAGACATTGCGCAATGAAATTATTTTTCACTGTGTTTGTAATAAGTGTGAGAATCAGTAGTCCTTGAATTTACGCGTAGATGCGTATAAAATAGAAGGTTCTGCGTCCTTGATGTGTTAGCGCAATGGGGAACCCAGAATGTGTTTCTGACATTGGTACCTTCGATTCAAGGAAATCGGCCAGGATAATGAAAATTTGCTTAAACAGTTCTGTAAATAAATCGAAAATAAATGTCTCCCTTTTATTTTTATTATATTCGCGTCAGTAAATTTCAAAGTGTGTATTTAGTAACATTAATCTATATTTAAAATAAATTAAGTTTGCAGTCCATATTTTCTCTTGAGTTTCTAGCGCGCCTTCGAAGTGGGTGTTAATAATTATTTAATAACAGTTTTAAACGTATTTCTCAACAGTGTAGATAGGGGATCGACACCAAGACCGACCGACCGTCTGTTGTAAAATGACTTAGACTTGGAATCCATCACAGATGTGGTTTTGGTCCTTACTGAACAGCACAGACTGTAACCTTATATGTGGGCTTAAATACAGATTTGGATAGGCTACATTTAAATGAATGCTTAATCGGTCGAAGAATGCTTCACATTAAATTTGAATCACAACTTTTGCCAGACTACACGGCGAGACGACCCAAATTTTGCTTCAGAAATGTAAATATTGGAAGTGGGCTCTGTGAATGTACTTTACATATCTTGCACACGCGGGATGTGCTGCTCACTTTACTAATCTGACCAACTGCATGGGGTCGAGGCAGGCTCCCTTGAAAACCAAATAGTCAGTCAAGAAATTTCACGCCAGTTATGAAAGTCGAAGATTCTTTGCCGTGTTTATAGTAGCTTAACATGTTAGTATTTTACGGTGAGAGGGTGTTCGCCACGCGTCAAAATACTTAGCTGTGGGATCACCCCTTGTCGGCTACTCACGACTGGTTTCTCAGTTTATTCGCAGCTACCGGTCATACCTGCTTCATTCGCAGCCCGAGGACGCACAATGACTTGCTGACAAGGGACTCATAGTCTCTACCAACCTAACTCTACTAACTACGTTTTTACCAGTCTTGCTCTTATAAATTACCAGTGTTATGAAACAATTTGTTAAGCATGTTGCTGTTGACACGTTGGAAATCATCAGGGATTAAATATAATTATTTTTGTAGATTTAAACTTACGATTTTGATTGTGCTGCATAATAAAATTACCTCTAAATAATTCCGAAGTAAAAATGAAAATTCGAATTAGGTAATGTTATTGTTTGTTAAGGGCACTGACCTCAGCTGTCTTAATCGCATTTATGCTGGCGACGGGTCGTTTCACTCACGTTTCATGGTGATCGCAAATCAGAAGACGACGTCCAACTGTTACCAACGCAGCCGTCACTGTTTTACTGCGACGAGCGTCTAGTCCACCCTTACAACAAACTGTAGGAGACGGGGAGCGAATTATTTTTGACCCCTACTGCGCCTGCGTGACCTCGCGTTTCCGTGTACCGCCGAAAGATTCCGCCATCTCCTGTACTAATAACATTCTTTCCGTCGCCATGTTGTTCTGTAAGCTTCTCTTATTGGGCACCAGTTTCTCTGGGTTGACGACGATCAATAGAGGCATTATTCTTCTTCTTTTTCCGGTTTAACAATGTTTGTAAATTTTCCGGTACCCTTTTACGGGTCCCCAACTTTTTAGTTGGCTTGATCTATGGACATTCGGTAGGACTCCTTGGACGAGGGATCGGCCCGTCGCAAGGTAGAGGCATTATTTATTGTTTAAATAAATTACTGTTATCCGTCCATATTCGCGAATTATCTATTCACGGTCGAGCACCCAATAATGCGGTGTCAGAAAATGTATTTAAAGTTCTTAGCGCGTAAACCACGCACGCTGCTTCCAGGCCCGTCTCAGTCCCTGCTTTGCTGGGTTGCAGTTGCACCTTGTAGTCTACAATAACCCAGAAAACAGCCATCTTCATACTCGCCATCGTGATCATGAAATCTCATTTGTGATCATATTTCTCCTCTTGATTTTGATTTTCTGTCTCCAAAAACAATTCTTTTTCAGGTACTCCAAGTCGTAGATTTCTTCACCACTGGTTTGTCTTCACGCAGAAATGCTATATTGTCAATTAGCGTCTTTGTATTCTGCGCCTCTCCTTGTTTGTGTGTTCATGTTTTGTCCAGTCCTTGTAAGTGTTCCCGCCACATCTGTAGCTTATTTCATTACTTATATTTATTTAAATGAGGCGACTCTGACCAAAATTGGCCTCGAATTTCCTCTTTTTCTATTCTAATTACACTAAGTTCCAGTCCGTTTTCTTTCTCACAAAACATCAATTATTTTAAGTACATCGAAATATGATTCTGTTCCAGAGAATAACAAATTTTTCTTCGTACGCCGATTCTCCCAAAAATTTAAATCCTCTTATTTTCCATTCTGCTTCACCTCTCAACTGTTTATCAACTTCTTGCCCTTCCTTCTTTACTTCTGTTGTTTCGCCCAACTTACGTTTTGGTGACATTTCTTAATAGTGTTTCGCAGGTCGTCCATGCTAATTTTATTTTTCTGTAGTGGTTTTTGTATCCTTTTATCTTCTTCGTGTTGTTTGTGCAATACATGGAAGATAAAATCTGAGCATCATCATTGAGTTGAGATTTTAATTTTCATCTTCATATAAATGACGTTGCAGCTTGGTCTTACCCAAGAAACGTCAAATATTTAAACATATAAGCTTTTTTGTATAGAAAAGATAACTGTTTGTAACATGAACATACATTTAATGGCAGCTTTATTTCTACAATAAATCTTTTCAGTCTTCAGGAAGCACGGGTAATTGAAAGGGAAAGTATTAATCAAAACAATATTTATTAAATATTTTATTTTTAAAATATTTGTCAAATTGAATGCAGATCGATTGAATAGAGAAGAAATGAGCAATAATCTTACGCCATTTTAGCGTTTAAACCAGCATTGACAAATATGGAATACATAGAGAATAACTAGTACAGTGTTTCACTTCGTTTTGTCTTTACACACAATATGTCAGGTGTAACAAAACCAGCATTATTGGTTATACACTGTATTTGTTGCAGTTTAATAAAGTAAAAACAAGATTTAATTTTAAGTAAAGTATGTAACTTTTATCTTATTGTTAAATGGTGCGTTTGATTAATCACAAACTTTAGAAACTGCAGATGAAGAAAAGTCTAAGTTTTAAGTAAAATTTCAATAGTTATTTTGAGCATTAAGCTAATAAAACATAGCTTTAAGTAATTTGTTCTAGCGGTTATGTTCAACTCTACAAGGTCTCTACTTTCATATTACATATTCCACTCGTTCTTTTTAACCAATGCAATTAAGCAGCGTAATTATTTATTAGAAGTTATTTGTCTCTAATTCTGTAACGTTTGAACTTTATTAGCGAAAAGTAATTGGAATGTCCTTTTAGTTATGCTACCAGCTCTTTTCAGTCGAGCAGTGAAAAGTGTTCGTGGTATGTGCTGAATATCCGCATCACGTTTCTCAACGCGAGACAGCGAAACAATAAACGACCGGTATCTTGCACTGTTATATAAAGTGATATTTTTTTATATTTGCGTTGCAATATCAATGTTGACTCTCTCGAGAGGATTTATCATTCTTCTCAGAGATGTTTGAAATGCTGTTTGTGATATGATCGAATATAATAGTTTTTTGCAGAAACAGTAAATAAGTGTCTTGTAAGCTATGACCTGTGAAGTATAGGAGAATTTCGTAATGTCCACATTGAGTTGATGAACAGGACTTAAACATGCACGGTTTATATTTTGAAATTTCGTAAGAAATGACAACTGAAAGATAAGCACATTTCTTGAGTACCTGTATGAAGAAAGAAAACATTATTACTACCTGAATTAAGAAGTATAATTTTATAGTACTGATGTATCCGTAGTGGGCTTCATTCAAATAGAGAGAACAGTTATACAATTTAAACTACTCTACTATTAAATTGAGAAGTACGTAATCTTTACTTCTATTTGGCCTTATTTTGGAATTACGAGTTTAAATTATTATTTTAAAATATGAAGTATTGTAAATTTTGGTTTTGGATTTAAATTTACATTTATATTATTAAATAAATATAAGAGGAAATGAATCTATGCTAGAATTTGCTTTAATGCAGCAGAATAAAGATTCACATGTTTTATCTGTGTTTGTATTGAAAATTAACAGCATTATCTATTTATACTGCATATACGAATGAAGCAAAAGTATACGTATATTATAAAGTCTACTTAGTTTACAATTTATGAGAGTGTCTACGGTAGACGTTCTAAGTACATGCACGGTCCTATTGCAAACTGTACAATATATTTTATACCGTGAAGTAAGCCCAAAAATATAATCAAAGTAACATCTGTTTACAATCGCTTAAAACTTTAAAATGTGACCGCTATTCTAAAATTTGACTATACATCTCATTTGATACTTTACATCAGATAAAATCATCTATGGAATAAGTATAAAGAATTTTT